GAAGGAAAACTGCGTTTCTTTATCGAACTTTTATCGACTCTCTTTTTTTCTATTGAGCCACACGTCTATCGATCGATATATATCGTTATTGAATTATCGCCCAGCCCTAGTCATAACCCATAGGTCCAAAAAAGAAAGGAAAATCACTTTTGAATGTTGAATGGCTGAGTCTATCATCGATTGATAGATTTGTCCAATCCCCCCACCTTAATGTAGGGTGCCATTTTCTCTCCAGTTTTCTAGCATTTTTGTTAAAAAAGTGGTCAGAGAGGGCAGAGTTGTGAAGAAATAACAGTATTTCCTCACATTCAATGCAATATATCAGCAAAAGGTCCAAACTGTGAAGATGAAAACGTGTTGCACTACTTACATTTTGAATGAAGCCAATAGCATTTGAAATGGCATTAAAGGCTGCATTTAAGACATCCCCTTCAAAGTCAGCATGGATGTTAAAATCCCCCATTATGACCACCTTTTTAGTATTGAACACTAATCAGATATGAAGCTGGAAAAATCAAACCCAAAATCCCCACAACAGGTTAAACGGGGATCTTTTCTATGCCATGCTGCATTCTCTCTGCTAATGGCTGGAGTGTTTTGCACCTATCTCTCCGCGGCTCAATATTATATTTAATATTAAACAGTCAGAAATCTGGGCCCAGAGCTTCTGTTTTCTTTCAACCCGTCCCTATAACTCGTTCAAATGCTTAGGTTCTTCCTCCCTTTGGATCCTCCAGGCTTTTTCCAAAGCCCTGTGATTGCTGCCTGAGACTGTGATAATCACTTTTCTCCCAGAGAGATCTTATTTAGTCTGAACCTGTGGATACAATTTCATAGCTGTGGAATAACTAAATAATAAATAAGAGTGAGTGAATTTGGAGCACCGTGGAGCCATTTCAGCTGGTTCTAGAATGGATCTTTCTCCATAAAGTCCTTAAGATAAATATTAGCTCTGCTTGTTGACTTGATTTTCATGTTTATATTTGTTCTTGATCGATAGTTGGATGAAAATGTTCATCAGGTAAATCCAATGCTGACAGTTTTCATTTAGCTTCGTTTCTGACTTCATAGATCCAAACATATTGTTTTTGGTGAGGATGTAGAGGGACTTTTTCCCTACTCCTATCTATGGACTGAACAGTCCAAGCCGACAGCATTTGTTGCTAGTAGGGACAGACGGAGGACTCCTGGGTCATGGTCACATCTGCTGTGTTCGCTCTAACATGAGCAGCTGATTACCAGAGAATACAGCAGTCTGCCTCCTCTGAGCCTTGGTGGATCAATGTGTGCCTTTCATCCTTTGCTGGTATTACGCAATAGCACATTTACATTCAGAAAATAAATTCGTAGTGTAAAACAGATGGAGTTTAGGGAATGATGTCAAACCTAAATCAGGCTTAATTACAATTCAGACTGGCAGGCTGCTGATTCAAATGAAAATATAGGAATTTTCCCAAATATTGAAGCAATTGTGTTGGTTCTGATGTTAAAATTAGCAGCTATAGTTATGGATATTTCTCATCAAGTGTTTCCAAGCAGCCTAAAACAGCAACTTTCAGTGAATCACAGGCTCAAAACCTTCAAATTCGGTAGGACACTTAGATTTATTAAAAGAGGGGTTTAACTCTGGGGTAATGGGGTGAACAGCGACAGGAGGAGAGCTGAAGCCAGATCCTCTTAGACATTTAATATCAGTTTATATAAAATATTATTTATAGGTCGACGTCATCCCCAATACACAGCACTATAAATGAGGAACGTTTAAATAACTAAAAT